CTCCCCACAACACATGTAGCGTTGGCCACCGTTACGTAGGCTACCACGAGCCTGTTCCTGTAGGATAATTCATACAACAGTCTTTTCTACGTGCAACGTATCCGGCATCAAGAGTACTGCTCTCACATGGAGTTGGAAAACAGCAAATGAAGGCTCAAGAGACTATATTTACTCCCTATTTTGAATGTTACCATGTGAAGATATTCAGTTTGATCAACTAGTCCTTATAGAGTATCTGCATTTTGTAGCCTCAGTTCAATCTGCTCCTCTCCCTATATTCAGGGAATGGCACTTCTCGTGCATTTTGCTTTTAGCAGCATTATATAGTTGGGTTTCACCTCCCTGAGCCTGATAAACTGAATGACTCAGAAACCTGCAATCTGCTCCAAAACAAAAAGCATTTAAGATAAAAGATATAAGCAGTAATGGAGCTGCTCAGCTCAGGAGTATAAGTGCTAGAGGGTTGCTCATGTACTCAAAAACCTCTAACCTTTCTTCAGCTTTTTTTTTTAACCCCTGCAAGCCCTGGGCAACCCTGTCTGCAAATAAGAGCTGATGTGTCATTTCAGATATGCATCCGCTCCAGTCTGCAAAACCCTGGAGCTTGTAAAGTAGAAGGAGCTCTGGTGCCAGCACAGTGCAACGAGAATGACGTAGAGCAGGGAGAGCTGAGCACTTACTCCACATCCTCCAAAGTGCTTTTATTTCTGCTAGTTAAACAGATGCTGACTTCTGAGGGGATTATGTGTCATCAAGACTGCTGGCTGCGACAACTAATTATCTCCAGCAACAGTTTGGCCTCTAGATTCGCGGTTCAAAGTGTTTATCAGGAGTGCTGTAATCCAATGCCACGCGTAGCACTGTCTCCCCACCTGAACTTCCTCCATCGCAAATAAATGGTACCCCAAACACAGCACGGCCCCTCCGCCCGGTCCTGCTAGAAGCCAGCACGTGGGTGCATGCATCCCGCAGTGCAGCAGAGACCCTTGCAGCAGGTCTTCACAAACAGCCTGGGCAGGGAGCATCAACTCCCATGTGAAGCCTTCAGGATACTTCCAGAAGGGCCCAAGGAGAGAACAAGAAGAAGCTAAAATCAGCCCCGAATTTCAACAACAGCCTGCCTGAGGTACACAGCTTCCCATTCCTGCAGCTGGATATGAGCGTGACAGCCGTGCAGCAGCCCGCTCCTCCTGCTGAGCTTTACAAGACCCATTAAACTTGGTGTTTGGGCCTCAACCGGACCCAGCTCAGCTGCAACAAAGTCTGGCGGAAAAAAATCTACTGCAATCTGAGAGAGGAGAAATTCCAGGCAAGATCAGCCAAAAGAGTAAAGAGTTTTGGAAAGCAGTGCGAAAACAGCATTGAAACTATTATATAGTCTCATATAAATTAATGGCTGATCCTTATTAAGACTACCAGGCCAGACAAAAAACAGAGCCAGGCAACTGAAATAATTTAAGATATTGAAAAACACATAAAGAATGACAGAAAGGATTAGAAAAGCTGTAAATGAGCAAAAAGGAGAGGAGTTAATAGAGATGGCCAAGGCGGGGGTGGGAAGCGCACATCTGAGCTGAGCCCCAGACTGGCGGGACGGAGCCAGTGCTGCCTGGGTGTGTTAGCACGGGAACGACCCTGAGCTACCAGACCCTTGCAGAGCCCTGCTTGGCTCAGGCTGGGGACGTTGAGGCTTTCCTTCTGCTGGCATGGCCCAGGGTACGTGTTAAACACGGGGGACTAGCCCCTGACAGCCACGGGCATAGCTGCTGTGCACCCTGATAGGTGTTAAGAGAAAACACTCCCCACAGCCCAGTTTCCCATGCAGACAGCCCAGACTGGGACTGGAAGCTGTCAGAGACAAGCGGCTGGATGGGATGGATCCTGCTCTGCTCTTTTCACTCTACTGCTATGTTCCTGCCCCCTCTAGAGGCTGGCAAGCTGCACGGTCTCCCAGAAAGCTGGAGGCTGGAGAGACTGGAGTCGATGGGGTGGATCTAGGCACGTTTCGCTGCATCGTGCCATCGACAAGAACTGGAGCAGACGCAAGGCTTTCAGCAAGGATAGAATAAAACGGGGTGCGAATTTGCTGTGATGAAGCCAAAGGGAGCCCTGCGTGGAGGAGCTACACGCTGCCCACACACCCCCGGACATGCTGACTGGCTACCAAGAGCCGTGCATGTCGCTAGCAAGAGTCCAAACCACCTGCAATCCCAGATCACGGCGCAGGGTTTAAAGGATGCTTCCACTCACAAACAAACCCTTGCACTTCAAAGAACGTAATTACACTAACGAACTCTTCCATCATCGTGCTGCTACTGCACTGCTGAGTCCTTTGACTAGTTTACATTTGCAGCAGCCCCAGCATTAAGAGTATCTCAAACGCAAGACTATTTGGTGGGAACATGTGAAGTGAAGAGAACTGAAACATAGGAAACCACAGAAAATGAAGATGGAGGAATAGGTAAAGGTCTCCAGAGTACTGCCAAGACCTGCAAGAGAGTCCTCTACCTCTTACACATCTGCTTTTTACTGTCACCTTGAAGGACTCAGGATTTTGTTCCTGAGGACACAGGGTCCTGGGTCTCTGAACAAAGATACTGCAAAGCCATTTCAGTCCGTGGGGACATGGGAGGAAACACAGCTGTCTCTTAAATAACAGAAGTTGACAACCATTTGCAAATAGATGAGAGATCATGGCTGCAGCCATCACAGCAAAGGATCTTATTTCAAAGATTAGCCAATGAAGCCCCATTCATATATCCATGGCCCATCATAAGGCTATTGAGGGAGCATCTGTCATAAAACCATGATGATTTTATATGCTTGAAGAAGGGCACAGTAATAATAAGTCTACTTAGCTCATATACTTTTCTTTGAGAGACATGATTCTTGCAATTCTTCAGTAAAAATGAATAATGAAAATGATGAGTGGCCAAAATATGTGACCTGAGTAGGCTAAGGTTTGTTTTTCATCTTAGCATAGAGTTTGTTTGTTTGCTGTTTTTTGCAAGTTAATGGAGTAGGCAGAAAAGCCTGTGGAAATGAGTGCTCTGGGGTGGCAGAGAGTGCACAGCTCCAGTGCGCTCAAGAGCCCTGGGTTGAAGCACTCCCTCCAGGACGCAAACAGAAATCCTTCTTCTGCTTTCTGATGCAGCAGGGAAAATATTGTCATCAATGGTACAGGCTGTTGCAGAGCCACCTAGAAATCGGGGTGTCTTTGCCGGCAGAGCTGGGGACCTGGACCGAGACACGCCTGACGGAGCTGCCGAGCTCGCAGAGGGACGCGTAGAGGGTCAGGGTGGGGGACGTGTCAAAGCCACGTGAGCTCCCCACGACATGAGCAGCAGGCTGTATTTCATGCCAAGCGCGATGCGCTTTGGCAAGGCAAATAGGGAAGCATATTCACTACCAAGTCGGTGTGACTAGTTTACTCATCAGCACCAAACCCACACTCTAAGTTAAAAAAAAATAAAGATTACATTTAGAATACACTGAAAGAGAAAGTCAAGCTAAACATGATGGCTATTTTATGTGAATGACTCTAGCTCATACTTTCTTCCGCTCACTGGCAAACTCCCACTCATTTGGGTTAACAATGTCTTATTCTTACATACAACTACACAACTTCTCTTGGTACCACTTATTTTCTGCAAGCTACATAAGGCAAAGCTGCTAGTCATCCACTAACACTTAAATGAGAAACCTTGTCTCCTGCCCCCATCTTGTAATCTCCTGCCTGACTCTCTCTTTGGGTAACATCCTGGGCTGCCCAAAGCACAGAAACCCAAAGGGAAGACCACTGGTCACACACAGATCTACTTTGCTATATTCACAGAGCATTGAACGCATCTCACATGCATTAGATGTCCTGGAGCTAGAAGTATGCATTTAGGCCTTGTTTCCCCGCAGTGCACATCATATCCCCTTTAAGAGGAACTATAATGTCTGTGTGCAGCTCACTGGTAGTGGAAAAGACTTTGCTGTATGGTACAACTCCATTTTTATAATTCATATTAAATTGTAATTGAAATTCCCTCTTTTGTCTATACATTATATTTAGTTGGGCTGAGTTATTTTAAAAATTTATCCTGAATTTGGATGAAAAAATGAATTGTGGTCATATATATGCAACAGTAGGATTTCTCTACCTAAAGATTTCACACGAGAAGACGGAACTTCATACCCAAAGTTCCAGCCTATGGAGGAGTTGCCTATATTCATAGATTTTAAGCCTAGAACAGAATAAAGGTAAATCTTTCAAAAGTAGCCAAGCATTTTAGAAAGCTGAATCTTTGCTTCCCCCCAAAAATACCTGATTTAAACTCCTAGATTACAGCTGCTGATCACCATCTAATCTGGTCCCCGGATTTTGTCCAGGAATGGTATCTCTTGCAATCACAGACCTATGCAGTTTCAAACCGAAACAATGACTCACTTGGGCAGATTCATCTCACCCAATTTTAGCTGAAAGCATGGCATCTTGTCTGAGCCAGTCGCCCAGGACTCCCCCACTGTCAGCGGAGAGAGAGGCATCTCCCAAGGGTGACTCAACCCGGTTGTTCCAGGAACGAGACCTATATGCTCCTGTCTCTAATCTGGAAAGGCTGCAAGGTTTTGAATAAATCCTTACAGAAAAGCATGTGTGTGTGCAGCATCTAGTGCAATGGAGTGACGGGAACCTTAGTTCCCTCATGGAATAAAAATAGAAAGAACTATTAAAACTAGGTATTTTCACAGGTAGAAATCAGGACTCACAACACACGAACACTTTACTTCCTGCTTTCAGTTCAGATTTTGTACTTAGGTTAGTGGGGTTTGTTAAGGTTTCTTTTTCCCTAGAATAGGATTTTTTTCCTTAACCACAGTACATTCAGCCATGACAAATGAGATTGAAAATGATTAGTAGGAAGCTGAGGGATTCATCTGAGATTGACAAAGATTAATGTGTGTCTTATTCTTATCTGTGTTCTTTTTGTTTTGTCTTTCTCTCTTCCTCTTAGCTACCTAGACAGCTTAGATCGAATCGGAGCTGCAGACTACCAGCCCACGGAGCAGGATATCCTTCGAACCAGGGTCAAGACAACTGGCATCGTAGAAACCCATTTCACATTCAAAAACCTCCACTTCAGGTTAGTCTGAAAGGGCATGCCATGCTAAATTTTCAGAGCACTTTTTTGTCACAGTGTTTTCCCATAGTTCACAACAGAGAAACCATTAAACTGCTGTTTAACTAATGGATGGTCTCCACTCTAGAGGCATGGCTGCATTTCTGGGGGTCAACAATATGAAATGTTGCAATCCTGTCCTGAAAATCACTACATCTAATAAGTCTATGAAGTCCCTTAACTTCACTGTACCTTCTAAGCCAAACAACACCTTCCTTTTTGGAGGGATACCCAGTATGAGATTGGTCCCAAGTCTGATCAAGCCTCATAAATGTAAGAATATTTGGCCAAACTTTCTCTCCAAAATGGGTCAGTCACGTAGTTAACTCTGTATATTGACACTCATGATGTCAGTTGGTAGAGAGAAGAGAGGATGGAGACAGAACATCACACACACGATATTTAGAGTATATAACACTGAAGAAAGCATGGGCTCAGCCTCCCCAGATCCTTTAGCACCCGGCACACTGCTGAGGCTCTCCCATGAATATGCACATCTCTGGCTGTTGCTGCTCCTCCTGTTCCTCCTCAGGCTCCAGACCTTGGAGGAGGAGGCTGAGCCAATGGTTAAAGACCTGTTGCTCTGTGTTTAGAGCCTTCCAGGGACAATATGCTTAGAGATGAGAAGACACTGTTAAAGCGTCCTCTTAACTAACGAAGAATGAGTGCTGACGGCTCCTCACTTGTGCCCTAGGCTCTTCGATGTCGGAGGCCAGCGGTCAGAACGCAAGAAGTGGATTCACTGCTTTGAGGACGTCACGGCGATCATTTTCTGTGTCGCGCTGAGCGGCTACGACCAGGTGCTCCATGAAGACGAAACCACGGTGAGTGTCAGCTGGGTCTTGGAGGCCCCGACACTTCTTTATGGAATACTGCCTAGCCAGCAACTGCTTGGAGATCCCCGTAGGTTCACTGTGGTAGTAGAGCGATGTGCGTTTGTCAACCAATCCCCCTTTGACTCTGAAATCCTGGGGAGATTGGTCCTCCTCCATACCCTTCAAAATCAAGTCCTGCATTCCCAGGTAATGGTTCCTTGCACTGATAAAGTTACAGTGGTTTTTTTTTTTTTCCCTTCTAGCTGACCTGCATGTTTTCAAAGGGTGTTAAAGGGACTCTATGTCCAAAAAGAGAGCAGCTGTGGATAGGCAGACTTTTAAAACAAATTTAAGGAAACAGTCATACCATGGTGCAGAGAGGTGTGGGAAGGCCATGCGTTCCTGAGTCAGGCTCAGGCTAGGAGTGTAACCCATTTCTTCGGGCAAAAGAAATTCATTTTCATGAGTGGTACTGGAACCATTTGATTCCTTAGGCAATTTGCTCTAGGAGAGCTTTTATAACTTCCTACTGTGACATTAGGCTCAAAATACCATCTGGAAATAAAGTTAGTGAGGACCTGTGCAATCCCTGGTATCAGAGGGAGTGCAATTAATGCAAATGAATTAAATACACAGAAAGGATGCAAGAAGACTCACTGCTATGTTTCTCCCATCCCATGTGTCATCCACCGTGATGGAAATGTATGCTTTGGGCAAGATGGGCTAACAACTGAGGCAAGCACCTGGTTGCATTTGTCTAGCAAAAAGGAATCAAATGGTATTCTCAGACTTTGGTAATTATTTTGTCTGTGCCTGGTATATGATAGCATGAAGGGTTTGCTCCTGTCCACTGATTGCGTGTGAGGCCCTTGCCTTCATTGTCCTGCTTGTAAAGATGCTGGACTTGCAGAAAGCTGTTGATGAAGAAGGAATCAAGGGAATGTTTGCTATTAGTTGTCAGCTGTCTCCTCCCAAAGGGACTGGTGGGGCTATGGTTTCTTGCCTCTTCTAACCCAGGTTTCTGAGCTCCGTCTAACTATGTGATGAAGTCACCTGTTTGTTTAGGTCATTACTGATGCCAAAATTCAGGATGTTATTAATATCACAACTGTATCCTTCCAAATAGCTAAAGAGACCAACCGAGGCACCCTACGCCTCTCATCTTTATTTATTTATTTATAATCCTCAGTTTTTAGCTCCCTGTGACCCTGGCCCTCACCTATTCAAGGATGTCCAGTCCTGTAGGATTCACTGGGGAGGAACCAAAATCTCCTGATGTGATTTGAAAAAGCCAGCCATTAACTCGATGCCATCCAGCTCTGCATCCAGATAGGGGAAAAACACCCCGGATATAAAGAAGAATAGGCAGGGAGTGCGCAGACCCAAGGGGCTGTGAGTGAGAGTCCAGTGGTCTGAGCAGAGAACAAGGCACTCTTTACATATAACTTGAGCTGTGACACTCACCCATATCATGAAACCATGAAGACCATCCCCCAGTACCACCCTGACAGCCAGTACCACCCTGACACAATAATACGACTTAACAGGGAGCAGGTTCAGACTCCTCTCTGAAAAGCCCCACGACAGAAACCTGGCTTTGTGTAACTCCACCTTTGCTTTTATGTCAGGAAAGCAGGCTTGCTTGTACTTATCTGGCGCAGCACTGACATTTGATTGCTATTTCAATCCCTTTTCGCAATGCATTTCTGGGGATGCTGAGCAACAGGAGGGCAGAGGCAGATGCTGTTCATTTACACATTCCATCATCGCTTGGGGAGAGGAGAGGATTCGGCGCGAACACCGCCAGGCCTGCAGGACGCCCCCACCTAACCCAAATAAACAGCCTTGAGCCAGGCCAATGCAAATAAGAAAAATGACAGTGTCGGAGCTTGTCTGCCCTATTATATCCCCAACACAAATGGCAGGTGGAAAACACAGCGCCCACAGACTCTCAGTCCTCTGCCAACTTAACCCCCTATCATTCAGCATCCTCCCCGATAATATGGTTCCTCTCCAAAAAACTAGCAGGAAAAGCAGCATCTCTTTAGTCAGCTGATTTGCCGTCTGTGTGTATCAGTCACATCTGCTGGCTTTAATGACGTAAATCAGCTTTTATTGCTTCTCACTTGTAAAGCACAAAGACGAGGCAGCTAAGAGAGTAAGCTAGATTCTGTTCCTCTCTCTTCATTTTCTATAGAAATGCTTACTACGTTCCAGGCACTTCCAGCTTTATTAAGCCACTGAAGGTTTGGGGGCTGCACAGATGTCTCTGTGGGTATGAAAAGACTTGTAGAGCTTTTATTGCTGGCATGAATCCACGAGATGGAAAGAGCCTCACTACGTGCCGGATTCCCAAGAAACGCTTGCAAAGCTAGTGTTTAGAGAGAACAGCTTTTCCTCGTGACTTCAGCGCCCTGTTGACAATAATCACAGGATTTCACCATGGCATTTGACACTTCTCTAAGTCAAACTGCACTTGAGGAGGATGAAACTGCAGTTCAAATACAATCAGCCTTTAATACAGAGCAGGGGCTCTCCTTGCTAAGCTCAGGTTAATGCCAGGGCATTGGGAGCAGTATAGCTGCAGCGCCAGCTTGTCACACTGAAATAAGCTCACGAACCAGCTTTACTGTGAACCTTTTCAAACAGGAATGAGCAAAGAGCTGGTTAAACAAGGCTGGGTGAAACAAACACTGATCTGCCCCTTCCCTTAGAATAAAGCACAGCTGCAAGCTCCTAAAGCTTTTTCACGATATAGTGCACTATTTTTAAAAATTCAGCACCCATTCTCCTGCAGGATCCAAAAAAGGGCTCTTGTGTGCAAAGCCCGCACTCGGTAAGGCCAGATATTCTTTTATAAGGGACGTCTATTCTCTCCAGTACCTTGCCACAAATAGCAACACCACAGGAGTAGAAGAAAGCAAGCACTTCCCTATGTCCAAATCAGAAAGACGTGAATAAACTGAAGTGAAACTTTCTAGGCCCATATGCCCATAAAGATCACGCTTTGCATAGAAACACCTAGTCGTTTTGAATCCAGCCTCCCACATTGCCCCAAACAGCCTCCTGCAATACTGTCAGCAGATCTGAAACCTCTCTCCTGCAGGATTGTGCCCCAAGGCCTGGCTGAGGGTGCTGTGTGTGCCCGGCTCGCAGGGGAAGAGAAGGAAACGTAGAAAGAAACTTAAGCAGTGCCTTCAGCATTCCCATTGCTGCCCAATACAGCCCACAGCCAGAGCTCACAAGGCAAAATTACATACTCTGCCCCCACCCCATGCAACACACAAGACGCTGTCTCCAAAGTGTGATAGGTCATGTAGATGATATGATGATGTCTAGGCATCCACCTTTGCCTAGTCCACCACAAAGACTCATGGGGCACTCTGCTGTGCAGCAGTGCAGAGTGTTTGCGCACGGTGGAAATGTCCTGCTTTAACTGCCCAAACAACTCAATAGATGCTTTTGCCTAACAAAGCTATTTTGTCTTACTGTGGCAGTTTTGTGACTTATTTTTATGTTTCATAAGATGAGGTTATAGGAGGTCATAAGAGAAGATATTTTCAGATCTGTAACCAGGGAAGAGAGAAGGACATTAGTCATTACTCAGTACAACTGGAGAAGAGGATTACCAAAGGCAGATTTGCATTGTTCCTTCTAAATGTTTTAAAGACAGCAACGGCACAGGATCTATCATGGGATCTCAGATTGTCCTCTTTGTTTTTTCCTCACAAGTGCAAAGGAGCCAGGCCAAGAGAGGGAGACATTCATGCTGCATTTTGCTGCCTCTGAAACTAAGATATTTAGGTCATCCGTATCTAGCCAAGATATGGAGGTATTGTTGATGTCCTTATTCCTGAACATATAGCAAGCTGAAGGCATTGTGCTGTTGACCCTCGATATGCATTAGTGTTGGACTGTTAGTTCGTATTTCATTGCATGACCTGGTTAGCGTGCTCTCTCTGCTATCACTGGGCAATGAAAATTGAATTGCAGCACTCAGAAATTTCCATAGGAGTGACAAAAGCATGTGGAAGTGGCCTTGGCATCTTAGGAAACATAACCAGAGGGAGAATAAGGAGTTTCTGTGGTTACAATAATGGTCCATGTCCTTGTAGTTTGCATGACAGTTAGCACTTAATTGCAAAGGAAAGCAAAAATGATTGCATCAATTGTACGCTGCAGAAATAACCAGGTCTCATCATATGCTCTGGTGAAAAAAGATGTTTTTTATGGGTGTATTACTGCCTGGGCAGAATCTTGACTCTAGCATCCGTTCTCCCTTGTGCTCAGTAGAAAGCTGTTTGCCCCTCACATCAAAGAGACACAAACATATTTTTGCAATGACATCTGAAATCAGCTATAAGCAATTCTGTGCCTCTTGTGCTGTGTAGGAAAAGATAACTGGACTTCTAATTTTTATGGGCAAGTGGTTTTCCCTCTGAAACATGGCTGGTGTGACTGCTTTCCATGTTGGAGTCTAAAGCATATGTAGGTGCATAGATTCAAAATACCGATTTTTGAAATAGGAGGTGACATTAAGAAGCCAATGTTTCCAGAGCCCTTCTTTTAGTAAATTACTGATAGACCCAAAATCAAGTGAAACAAAAGCAGTACAAGGGATCCAAAAGCAGATGAAATGCAGATGAAATAATTTATATGGGAAAGGTATAAAACAGAGTTGCATTTAATGCCTATTACCTAATCCATCGTAACATGCTTAGTAACTCCAAAATAAGCGTTCAAGAAGCTAGTGCGGGAGCAGTGTGCCCAGCCAACAGGAAGGCACCATCCCTCTCCTACAACTCTGGGACATCCTGAGCAGCACCAAGAGGCTCTGAAAGGTTCCACCCCTCCAGGCCTGCAGGACACGATGTGATAAAAGACAGTGCTGCAGGACCACGAGTGGGGAAAAAGGATAGGAAAGGCTGGAGGGTTTCTCTTCCACCTTCTGCAACATGACAAGAGGGAAATGCTTCCATGGAAAAGTGTGATCAGGGAAACAGGACAGA